CGACTCTCGCTCGCTCGCTGTGCGTTCAATCGGCGCACCGGGATTAAAATAGGAACGAGGAAAGTGCGACGGCAAAAGTGATTGTGTTTTCCGTTCCGCCGACTTTTTGTCTGCGGGTGCGGATTTCGAATTTCGGCATACACGCGAATTCACTTAATAAAATATTCAACACGCGAGTGCGTCGACGATCAAAGCAAAATTTCGCTGATCCGCCAACACTGAATTTTTTCGTGATAAAAAATGATTTGGCTTTGACGTTGCAGGCGGAGCTGCTGAAAAGGAGCGCAAATGAAATCACTTGCGCATCGCATAATTATGGTTGCGTGAGCCATTCTTCCTCATACGAAATTTAAAACTCCAAACTTGCTGGTTACAACAGATTATTTTTTAAGAGCGCGTATAATTTTTGCCTGGAAATATAAAATTACACACACAGTTTAAGAGTCTCAATTTATAATTTTAAAATATTTGTATTACTTTTTTAGTTTTTTATCATTTAATATTAAATTTGAGACTCAATTAGTAGCATAAATTATTATATTCCACAGAAATTGAAATATTTCAACTAAATTTATTTTAGGATTAAATGAATGCTTAAAACTATTTGTTTTGCTCTATAAATTGATTTAATCTTCTTAATATTATTTTCATTTGATCAGATTTTTTCACTACAATTTATTTTTGCTATTTTGATTGTTGGATTTTGAAACAAAAGCTCAACTCGTAGAAAATCGCAGTTCGTCGAGGCGGAAATTGGATTGTGGTGTTGCAGTTAATTGTCCAATGCAGCGATAATCTGCAGCTTGGGCGGCAGAACAAAAACGAAATCGATAATCTGGGCTTGCAGCGGACGTGTTTGCGAAACGGGGCGATTCATCGAGACAGCGCATCAGGCTATAAACACAGGTGTGTAATGCACACACGCGCTGGATTATGCGAATTTAATTACAGGTTACACATTTTCACACGGTGCGCGCTGGGAATTGAACAAACATTAACACACGCGCTGCTCGCCTCGTTGCATACACGCGCGCCTCTCAAAGGGCGAAATTTCCAACGCTATTAATCTTGTCCGCTCAAATTTCATTCATTTTAAATCATTTTTTCCCACAAGTGATTAGAAAAAATTACTATTTTTGATGTTGAAAACATTTATTCAAGAATATCAATTTTTAATAATTTTTCAATTTTAATAGCAATTTTACCAAATAAAATTCAAGAATTAATCTGTAATCCAGTAAATATAACAAAAAAAGGAAATTCTAAATTATTTTTTGCATGTCATGACAGCTTTTTGCAACTTTTATTTTCAATACCAGAGAAAATTACTCGTCTGGCTGAGAAAAATAGATGCAATTTTTTATACTATTTTTCCGTTTCAATTTTCCAGAATTTCAATTGCGAACTCTTTTCGAAATTGAATTTCATTCTGTTCCCCGAAGCTCGGTTATTTTTCTCTCTCGCTGTTATTTCTCAAATGAGAAAAAAGTAATGCTACTGTTGGAAACAAGAATTATGTCAGGTGAAGGCGAAAGAAAATAGCTGCCAGGCAAAGCAATTAAGGAACAAGAAAATATGAAGAGGTCACGCCGAAGAAATGTGCGCGCACAAATTCATTTTCGCTACGCACAATGAAAATGTGTCAAAATCATGATTTCTTTCTCGTTTACTTTTTGACTACTTTCCTGGAAAATCTGATGAAAAATTTTGCAAGCTGAGAACTTTCATTTCTCTGCAAAATAATAATTTAAAAAATGCTTTAATTTCCCACTTCTTTTCCGATTTAAAGTCGAAATTGTCAATATTAATTGTATTTAACGAATGAAAATAATATTAATTCCCGATTTAAACTAATTTAAGGCTAATCAATACATGATAATTGAGTCGTCGGACGTTTGAATCGGCTGTCACCACATCAGATGCACAATATTCGAGTCACACAACCTGCACGTAATTAAATCGAACCGAGTCGGTCGAGAGAGCCAATAAAGCTGAAGAGCCGAGGCGCCCCCGGGAAATCATTCGATGCAAATTAATGCGCGAAATGCACTCGAGCCGTCTCTGTCTGCAGCGAATGCAGACTCGTCGCCGCGGCGGTTAATTCCATTGACAAAACTAATCAAATGTGCACCCTATTTACACCGACTGCTTGTTGCGTAGCCGACCGACGAGTTTATAAGTTTATTTATGGCGTAGTTCGATCAAGTATGTTCTCCCTGGTACGCTCGTCCTTAATTGCAAATAATCCACTCCGGCGTGCAGCAGCCAATGAGCACCAATTTGCAGTCCTCGGGTTCTAATTAGCGAAGCTTTTGTCAATTAACAATTTTTTTCTATAGAAATAGAAAAATTGAATCGGCAGTTATAACAGTTTTTCTTGACTCAAATTGCACTAATTTAACAGAGAAATCAGTATATTTTTTATTCCTAAGGGTGAAATTAACATGAAACGTTGAAATAGAAATAAAAAATTGGCACCAATTTATAATATTTCTAACAATTAATTAAATATTTTTACTCAATTGCTTTTTATTTCAATTCTTATTTGATAATATTTAAGTAAATTAAACTATTTTTACAATAAAAATGGAACTTCTACAACTAAATTGAATATTATAATTTTAAAATTTGTAATGATAAATGCTATCATTATGTTATTTAATTTAAATTATATAATTCATTTTAATTCATTTGCCAAAAATAAATACTTATCTTTTTCAATGAAAATAAAATTTATTGAATTAATTATCCTCCACTTGAACTAAACTTGTAATTATGACACGAGCAAAAGAACAATAATGAATAATCCTGACAAATCTAATTTCGCGCGAGTCAATTAATTCGACGCAATTATAATTATACCGAGACGAAATAACACTTTTCCAAGAAGTAATTTCAGCGAGTGCAGAGCTGGAAATATAAACATCTCGCTGGAACTTTCTTGGCAATGCAATTAAAAAAGGCGGCTCGTGCTTTTCCTCGAGGGCTGCGAGCAAACAGCTGCAGCATCCCAACTTTCTCGGCGCGCATACTTTCCACTAATAACATCACGTGCATCAAACTCGGCCGTTCGCGGATGCATTTGCATTTGATGCAATCATAAAGCAAAAGTGCACCAGCCACTTTCCTCTTTTCCCTTTTTTTCTGTTGCAAATGCAAACTTGTGCAGAGGTAATTTGAATAAAAATTCGCATTAAAATTTAATATACACAGGCCCGCGAAAACTGGATTAAGATTATTAAGGAAAGGAAGTATCGGCAAAGCGGCGGCGCCCCGGCGAGCTCAATTCCTATTAGCATCTCAAAACTTTTTTTACGCACCCCTGCGATGAGAAATAAAAGAAGCTGAAATTATAACCGAAAGCGGCGCCAAATTTCTTGGCACAAAGAGAAGGAAACTTTTTGAAACCGGCTTTTGCAAATTGAAAAATTGTTTGAGGAATTTTCTTTGAAAAGTAAGGGCGCGGAAATTTATTGCTTTTTTAACTCGCTCCGTGGAATTGGAAACGTGAAAGATTTATTTTTGTCGTTTAATGCAGGCATTTTCCACTTTGGGTGATTAAAAAATTGCAATTTCATTCCCATAAATAACCAAAATTATTTATTCGAGTGGAGTTGTCGATAAATTATTAATTTGCAAAAAACTTGCTTGCCATGTTTTGGAAGCAGTTGTTTGTGGCTGGAACTTTTATTTGCTGGCAATGTCGTTCGCTGCATTCGCTATTTATGACTTTTCCGCTTGTAAGTCAATACACTTTGGCCCCAGAGTAACCATTGTCGTTTGGCCGCACCGCGTAAAAGGAGGCTTAGGGCTGATCTCGGGGGTGGCCGGACCAGAGATTTATTCTGGCCAGCGACACAACTAACTACCTGCCTCAGCAGCTGTTTTTATTGCGACTTTTATTTCCTATTTCGCCACAGACCTTCGGATAAGCCGCTCTCGCCAGACACACAAAATTATTTTTCGTTCAAACCGGATGTAAAACAAAGGGGAGCGAAAAGGAAGAGAGCTTTTCCAATCATTGCAAAATAATGTACAACTTTTCAATCTTCATGTGATCTGGCAAGGTGTGGACCAATAATTTGAATATCTAAAATCCATAAACAATTAAAGCGGTAAAAATTATGTAAAAAGGAGATTTAATTTTGTCATTATTACTTCATTTAAGGTCATTAATTAAAATCTATTCTATTTGCAGTTGTGTTTCATGTCTAGCTTTGTTTTATTCTAACTATTGTTTAATGTACAGAATTAACTTTTAAATAAAATATTTACTTTATGAACTTGTGATTTTTAAAAGGAAAAATCTGAAGAAGAAAATTGAATCCATTTTCCAATTAAAATCTTAGACTGTATTTTTTTTTTTTATTAATTTTAATTGAGATTGTTTGGTTGAAATAGATGGTTTAATTCATTGTTACTGCTTGTTCAATTTTGTATTTTTACTGGAAATTAAACCGATTTGTAATTAATTATGCATCCATCGCAACACGAGCGTCGTGCAGGTTGCATAACTCGCCTTCCGTGCTTTTTTTTCTCTGTCTAAAACATCTACGAATTGGCGCGATTTTGCGAATTAACGCGCGGAATCGTCCTTGTGGCAATTACGCGGCCGAGCTGAAGAGCGAATGCGCCAGTTGGCAACCAGGCCATTCGCACCAGCAAATAGAGAAACTCTCAAACAACGAGACTGCATTATGAATATATATTTTGTTTTGTGCTTTTTATTTTTATTTTCGAGGAAACTGCAGCGAGTGTTGCTGGTAAAACAATGCAGGCTTCTCTCTGCTTTCCCACTAAACACGGCATTAATATTCATCACGCGCGCGCGCCAGCCGCTGTAATTACACTCAACCGCATAATTAAATAAACGTAACGTAATTAATGGAAAAAAATTGCCCCGACCGCAATTGCTCTTGTTGTTGCTCTGCGCGGCCGCACGTTCTGCGAAAATTTCATTCAAATTGCACTCGCGGAAAATATTTACTGAGATAAAAAAAAAAATAATGCAACACTGCATGCATTGCTTGGTCAAAGTTTCACCAGAGAGGTTTGGCACGACGTGCACTCTTGGCGCAGTCTTCAATTTATGTTGATGGGTTTTCACGTTTCTTCCTTGTTGTATATGCAAAGTTTTGAGAGAAATAACTTTGAATAACTAAAATGAGGAAATATCAAAAGTGGATAATTTCCTCGCTTGAGTGCCGTGTTTGTGTTGTTAAAAAGTGTATTCCAGTTTCCATTTTCCAAAAGAAATAATGCTCCATTGATTCAGAAATTTAACGAGCAAACTAATGCTTTGAAAACAAATAAAAAATTTCCTTGGAAATCCTAATTTTTTTTAACAGATTAGGATTTCTGTTTAAAAAAATAATTTTCCAATTTAAAACATCTGATTTATGATTGGCTGAGACTTTGTACATCTATTTATATTGAACTTCATTTAATAGTTTTTTCTTTATTTATAAAAAAGTGGATCTTTGTGAACCTTTTCTCATCTGATATCTTATCATTCTTATCTCTCCTTAAATAAATCAGTCTGTCTTGATTTTTTTTAATCTCATGCTGGATTCTAAGCTTGATGAACTATCAGATAAGACGTGCAATTGAAAATGATAAGCAGCTGCTTTTACAATTAGTTGTCTTGAATCATAGCCGTGAAAGAAGCAAATCTTAAAATGCAATTATACGGCGTTGCTACAATTTTATCACTCGTCGTTTTGGGTGGTGTGGCCTTGTTTGGAGTGCTTATTTTGACAATCAACGCCTCTTCAGAGACACTATGCGAAAAAGCAGGTAACCGATTTAAAAAAATTTTAAATAAATTATTTGACATTATCCAAAAAAATTTTTTTTCGTAACAATGCTTGTCTCAAAACTAGGAAAAGATCTGAATATGACAAAATTGGTGTCTGGAACTTACTTCTTCAAAGACGATTTCTCTTTCTGGGTAAATTTCAAAATAGCCTCTTTTTTATTCCAAAATAAAAAAAAAATTAATTATAGATTTCATGGGACGACGCAAAAGCATTTTGCGAGTCGCACGGCTTAGAACTGCTGACGGTGACAAATCGGTACGAAGCGGCAGAGATCACGGACGTGTTCGAAAGTAAGGAATTTAATTTTCGCTCACATTATCTGGGATTAAAAAAAACACAAATTCCAGCGTATTTATGGACGTCCGGCTACTTTTTCCGCGACGGTGAAAATCCTCCGGGTCAGTTCAAGTGGCAAAACGGCTCAATAATCCCGCTCGACTCGGCCATGTGGAGCTCGTTTTTCGACGAGCCCAATCATTACCTCACGAAAAACCGGACCTGCGTTTTGCTTTACAGGGGAGAATTGTTGGACGATCCGTGCGTGGGTTGGTACCCGTTTGCCTGCGAAATTCCGCACTCTTGTTACTCGTGAATAAACCACAGATTTCGAAAAGTGAAAACGTTGTGTCAATAATTAATCGCAAGCAGGAAATGTCACGACGAGTTTCGTTTTTAAGTAAACTTAATTAATTAATTATAAGGTCTGTTTGCAATAAAAGTTATTTCTAGAATTTTGTTCAATCATCTACAAATATTCCAAAAGAAATTGAATGTGGATTTAGAAACGTAGAGATGAAACCAATGTCTAAATTTAAAATTTTAATTGGAATTCTTAACTTTTTTATTAGGATTTCTGTCGCCTATATATTAAGTTTTAGCTTTCAATAAGCAAAATCCTAGTCAATTTCAGTGTGTTGTCGTTTGTCTTGATTAATCAGTTTTAAATGGAAAAATTAATTTGTTGGAAACAGAAATCATAATTTGTTTTGTACAAAATTTAAATTTCAAATTAAAAGTTGAAATTCAGACATTGTAATTCGTTTTTGAATCCAAGTTAAGTTTCTTTTGAAAAATTAAAATGGAAACTGGAAAACTTTTAATGAACATAAAAATGACCCAAATCTGCTCAAAAAATCCAATAAATACTGTAAATTAACTATATTTTGGTGTAAAAGTTGAAATTTCGTGTATTTAGCTTTAAATAAACTTTAAGGATGTACAAATAATTCCTGAGTTTAAAGAGCTGTTTTGATGGAAAGTTGTTGTGCGCAGGGATATAAAAGGCAAGGAGCGAGCGTGGCATTGCAAAGCGATCACTGCACTACATCGTCGTTAGCAAAGTTTTTGCGCGTCGCAAATCCTAAAAGCAGCGCACATGTATTGCAATTTCCATTTGAGAGAGCAGCAAGAACTACTTTCTGACCGTGCAACAAACCACTCTGCTCCTGGCTCTCTTTGAAACTTACACTCGCCCCCAGTTTGCTGAACACGGCGTGCCGTACATTTTTTGCCCATTTATCATGTACACTATTTTGATGTTTAAGCTGCTCTTGATGTTGTTGTTGCGACTTTTTGCGCGACAAACTTTGGCTTGCTCGGCGAGAAAACGATGAGTTCTGTGTTATGCGTCGCCGCAGCGCCGCCGCCGCGCCATGTTCTGCTGCGCCGCCGAACAGATTTGCATGCTAATTGCGATTGGAACGTGTTCTCTGCCGCTGGCTGTTTTATGACAAAGAGTTTCATACAGATTAAAAATTTTGTTTGCATGCAAATTGGCTGCGTTTTTTCGGCGTGTAATTAACTCGGCGACCGCACAAGCACGATCCTTTGGAAATTGACGACAACCTTTGACACGTGGAGAGCTTTGATTTTCCAAACAAAATTTTTGAATAATTTTACATGTGAAAAAGGATGTCCGACTAAATTCAAATATGCAGATCTATTAAATAAATATAAAAAAAAAAAACAGAAAAATTAAGATATCCAATCAAATTTAAGCCATTTCTGAAAATTCGTGAAGCGTAAATGATCCTTGAATATTTAAATGTTGAAGGGTTAAAAATACATCAAATATAAATTAATATTGTAACAAAAAATTATTTAAATAATGACATTTTAATTAAAATTCAATCAATCGTTATAATTATCTTTCAATTAGAGTTTAATTACAAAAATAATATCAGTTTGAAGAGATTTTCTTGTTATTAAAAAACGTTTAAAGATTTTGAATTTATTTAATCAGTTAAAATTGACTTCACTTTTTCATTTTTTTATTCTTTGGTTTTGATATTAATTCTCCTTTAGTTGCAATTTGTTTAGGAAATAAATTGAAAAAAAAAGATGAATTTTCCATTTTCCGCGCGAGCTTCTTGTCATTCCAGCTTTTATTACGGTTTTCCTCGTTTTCCAATAATTCATCTAGTCACATCTAGTTTAGATTAAAATGGAAATCCCTTGAATTTCTCAACAGGCGCGTTAGCGAGCCGCAAGTTTTTAATAAAGCGCACCGTGAATGACGCACTTCTTGTGTGTTTCCTCCGCAGCAAGTAAAACTGATGTGCTCGGCACAAACTCGCTCTCTCAGCACAACAAAGGAAAATAAGAACGTTGCTCTCTAGCTCTGAATACACACACACATAACGTTCATATGCCTTTGAAGAGCGCGCTTTAACTAATCTGTCAGTTAACATGCATGTATTCCGCGCCTGATGTGTTCGCCGAGTGCGCGCGCGAAACGAGAATTAACGCAGCTCCTGAATTTGTTCTTGCTCTCCGCACTTCTCTCGTCTCTACACAAGAGCATTTCCACCAACAAAATAATACACACCAAGCTTGAAACTCAAAGACAGAGAGCGAGTTTGCAAACTCATCCTAAATGATTCGCTCATTTATTTGTTACAAAAGGAAGTAAAATTTATTAATCAACTTTCAACTTCAATTTGATTTTAATCTTTTTTATTTCTTATATATTCATAAACTGAACCTTCAAATCTTATTCGAAAACTTAAAATCTTAAAAAAGGGCTCCTGCTAAAATTTTATTTTTAGTCTTTATTAGAATTGCTTTGTAGTTTTTGATTCCAAGGAGACTTCATAAGAAAAATTGAATTAATTGTGAGAACTGAAAATTAAAATTGTTTCAAAAATATGTATTTTTTTTTGCTCAAATTGTCCCGTTAAAAATTAATGAAAATTTCTATACAAATCACGTTCATATCACCCCAATGAAGGTGGAAAATGAAAATCAATTATTCAATCAATCATTAAATTAATTACATATTAAATAATTTCAAAATTTACATTGATCTTGCGAGCTCCTCTTTAAAGAAAATTCAATGGAAATTCTGTTTAATTTGTAATTTTCCTAAATTTTTGGTGCAGTTTTAAACTTCGGTGCGAGAAACGGAGCAATTGGGCTTAATTACAATTAGAGTCTTTGGCAGCTGCAGGACGTTGGTCTGCTGGGAAATTAGAAAGAAACGCCGACGGGTGCGAGCGCGGAAGCCTTATGGCCGTCGCTCCCTGCTCTCAGCTTTTCCATTCTTGCAAACTCAAACACAAATGCCGTTGTGTTGTTTACAGTGTGTGTGTTTTCCCGAGACCGAGTTGCCCATTTCACGTTGCTCGGTATACGAGGAGGTTCGCGTTTAATTCTCAACCCTTAATTCGCTGCCGCCGCCGCCGCCGCCTCCGCCGAGAGAGAGAGAGAGAAATGCACTCCCGCACTCCCTCAGGGCTCGTGTTGCAAAAAATGGCGCACGTATTATTTCAGTGAGCGAACGCTGCTTTTTTTTACACGCTCCGAGCGAACAACAACTTTTCATCAAGATAAATTCACTTGTCCTTCGACATTTTCCTTGCTGAATAAAATGAGCGCGCTGCACATAAACTTGGGAAAATTGCTCGAGGAGAGTGAACGAAACTAAACGCAGACACGCTTGGGACATTGTCAAGCTGCAAAAAATATGTTCAAAGTTTTCTATAAAAGGAATTAACGTCACGTTTTAATCATACAAATAAAAGAAAAATAAATATTCAAAATCCACTCGACGAGCGTTCAGTTCAAATTCACTTTTTAACTTCACTTTATCTTTGAATTCTTAATTTAATTTTCTCAATTGAATATTATATCGTTTTGAATTTATTTATGATAATCAATAACTAATTAGGAACTAACAAATCAACTTCTTCAATTATATCATTAAATACAATATTAAAATTATTTTATCAATCGAACCAAATTTTTTTCCAGAGATCTTATTAATGGGATAATACTTTTTGAATCAATTTATCTGAAATTTGTAATAATCTAGCGTATTTTAATTTAAAACTTCTCATTTAAATTTTCTTTCATAAAATCCGCGTTCAATTCTCGCACAATGAAAAATCACTCCGTAGGAAATTGGAAAATGCTCTCGGAAGTGCATTTTCGAAGTAGACAGGCGAACGTTGGAAGACAATAAAGTGTGAAAGGAAGAGGCGTGCATTTTTATTGACACAAGAAGGCTGCGGGAAATGAGCATCAGCTGCACTTATTGCATTCTCGCGACGACAAGCGCAGCTGAAACGGACCGACCGGTCGTGGTTTTAATGCATCTCTGGCTCGCTCGCGCCTGACACTGACACTCTCTCGCCGGCAATGCTTCATAAGGGTGCTTTTTCACGCTTGTGTCGTTTGTTTTTGTACCAGAGCCAGCCAGCCAGCGCCATTCATTTCCATCCATTTTTACAGCAATTTCACCGCAGCGGAAAACACACACACGCACACGTCCATACCAGCAAACACTCTCTCTGGCCCCCAAATTTATGTAACGCGCAAAATGCTTTTACTCCATGTAAAAGCCAGCGCGTGAACGTGGTTGCCGCAAATAATGCCACTTTTCCCCCCCGCGCATGTGACTAATTCCGTGGTGCCAATGAAAGAGAATTTTCTGCCACTTTGAAAGGAAAAGAGAAAGTGTTTTTATTGGAATATAAGATGTAAGAAATTTGAGTGAAAGAAAAAATAGTCGACCATTTTAAGAAAATAAAATGAAAAATTGCCACTTGGCTTAGAAATTTTTTATAAGCACCTCAAATGAGCACCTCAGATCAGCTGCTCTATTGTAGAGCAATCACCGCTCCAAGTTAGGGCGGCTACAAGCCTATATTTCTTTGGGTGTAATTATTGCAGTTTTTTTAATCATACCGCAGCATTCATATCACTGTGTCATTTTCCAGTTTTTTATTTTTGATATTTATGTGATTGCAAAATATATAAAAAATATTTATTTCATATCAGAATTAAGAAGAGAAAATAACATAATTTAGAAAAGATTAGATGTTAAAATTAAGATATTCAGATATTACATTTAAACAAGCCAAAATTTGTGTAATTACAAAACAATATAAAGGTACTTGCTGAAGACATTTATTATTTAAACTGCTTATTACCTTCAGATGCCACTTTTCACATTCTTTTTGTTCTTATTCCAGCAAAAAACTACAGATCTCTTGACTTTTATTTTTTTCCGTTAAATTTAGCCTTTCTTCTAGTTCCAGTTCCACGTAAAACTTTTCGAAAATATTCTTTTTCATGTTAGAAACGTTTTCGTAAACATAAGACATGCCATTCTGAAATGAAATGTCGCGACCCAATTTTCCCAGAACTTTGATTTATTTGAAACGAGGTAACAAGTATTTTCTTCTTTTTTTATCGTCGGTGTAAATCAGATCTTTCTGCTCTTGTTGCGAGTGTTGAATAAAATTCAAATAGCCAACGTGGTCATCAAGAAGGCGAGCGAGCGCGGCCACGCTCAAGAGCAGCACTCGAAGTAAATATCGAGTGCAACAATGGGCGCTCAACAGAGTGGCCTACATACTCGGAGTGGCAAACACACGCTCCCTCATTCG